ACTTTAAAATATTATCACACCAGATTATGACCTATATTTAAAACTTACCTCTCCAACCCTACCTCCACTCTCTCTATCCTCCCACGCAGCTCCAGCCAGCCGTCTGGCCTCAACCCTCCTTCCCTCCCCTCCTCTCCCGGCCGTCACTCACCCTCCCTCTCCCCTATCACCGCCTCCCCTCACCCCTCCCTCCCTCCTCCCTGCCCAAAACCTCCACTCACCCCCTCATTGGCAAGAGTCGTCCACCATAACTCTCTCTCTCTCTCTCTCTCTCTCTCTCTCTCTCTCTCTCTCTCTCTCTCTCTCTCTCTCTCTCTGCAGTAGGGAGGAGTTGATGGACAAGCGACTTGAACCGCGGTGGTCGTCAAAACAATCGACGATTTCTTCCAGAATCTAAACCAACGATTCGTATATGAGATTCTATCAGGTTCAAAAATCTTTTTTCTAAATATCCACCCATTGATAACGAGTGGGACCAAATAGTTCAATCGGTGTAGTTGCTGAACCATACCACATAGTTCCAGCAACAACAAAGCGGATTTTGAGGAAATTACAAATCAGACCTTTTATACTTACTTCAACAAAAGAAGCGCGGGTAGTTCCTCATAGAAAATTATTGACTCTAGAGATAGAGTAATATGGAGAAGACAAAATTGTTTCAAGCACCGACAGAACTGTTATTATACCTATCAAAGCTATCAGATTCATTATGTAAGGTATAACGACGAAAAGGGGAAGAAGGCGGTCTACGGGATATCAAAGCTATCATATTCGTTATGTAAGGTATAAGTGACTTGTTATTGTGATTCAATACCAAGCATCACCGTATCAGAAGTTATTATAAAAAAGTTAGTGGTAGAATATTTCGTACTAAAATCGTGGTTTAATCAGTTCATACTGTTAAAATTGCATACCGTTTGAGCAGCTACGATATCCGATCCAACTGTCCGATACAATAGGATTTCGAATCTTTTCAAATTTCCATGTCAATATGGTATCGTCGACTATTGAGTCATCTTCGATTCTTATTTCTAAATCTCTATAACTAAAATCAAGGAAAACATTTCACTTTATTATTAATATTTCATATTTATGATTAGGGCGAGCTATGGATAGTTCATTTTTGTAATTGGATTGCAAACATGAAAAATTCTAATTTAATTTATTGACATGAAGAATAAACATGATTGTTAGTGGTTGCAATCAAGTCATCATCAAAGTTATTGATTTGGATGAGGCTTGATTTTTATGACGGCAGAGTGTATGTCAAAGTATTGATTCCGTTTTGACCCTAACTCGTATGAATTTACTTTTTAATATCTTCCCAAAAGACCTCATAAAAAATGAAATTTGGTGGACAATAATCTATAAAAGTCTTTGTCTTATATTTTCAATGTAGCACTTTGAAAAGTCTTGAACTGTCCACTAACACCATTACACCAAGCATTTCGACGGATTTTCAAAAAAGAGAACACTATTGGATAACAAGAAGAAAGGCTCATAACATAACATATAAGCCTAGAAAGCACAAGCAACATACATAGCCATCAACTGATTTCATGTCTTTTCATTTTCATTCAATTTATGATATAATCCAAATTTGCTGGAAGGTGGCATTTATTTCAGTATGTATCTAATTCGCTTCCTCCTTTCAGCTTAATGCGATTGAATTTTGGTGGAAGTTGTCTGTTACGACGGAAACTGAAAATAACCAAGAGGAAAAAAAAATGAGATCATACATATTTGCTTATGTGTTAGTTAATTTACAGACATGAAAAATCAATTTTACGACTAATTTTAATTTCAGATAAGCCTTGGGCCCACCATATTTTTTGTTTCGTCTTTCCGACTAATTTTAATTTCAGATATTTGTTGAGCTAGCTAGCTAGCTAGCTAGGTTAGCTATCCGATCCAAAACGGAACATATTTTCCGGGTACGAATCGAATATACAAATTCATGTATGAACTGAAACAAATAAAGCATCCTAAACTGCTTTACTCTGTAGAGATGGCGGCGAGTACTACTGAAGGAACGAAATGGCAGCATGCAGCGTCGACCTGATGCATGCGCATGGGATGAATTATTTGTGTACTGTAACAATAATGCATGCTTCTCTACAAATGGTGAAATGGGCTACCAAATTATTGGTTCCATAATTTGTTTGCTTTTGTTATTACTAGCTTTCTTTCCAATCATTGGCCGTGTTATTTTACAATTATTAATCATTCCAAATTATAGTTAGATTATTTTTGGATTAATTAGTTGATCATTTGGATTGTTTTAACATCTGTATATATATTAAGAAGGCTGCAACATGACAACGTTAGATCTTGTGTGTTCACTTAATTCGATTTGGTCCTTAGTTTCTAACACTTTAATCATCGAGGGTGTTTCCCACCGGCAATGTCAAACCGCCAGATGGGCAAGAACTGAATAGGTCTTCGGGTCTACCAGTGCACTTAAGAATGCCTCACTTCGATTACTCGTGTCACACGTTGTTTAGTGGTGCCTAGCTTTGACTATGGGTCACCTAGGCGTTATGAACGCCTAATTCTCTGCTTAGGATCTAGGCGAGACATTTTGTTATTGCCTAGTGATTAGGCATAAGTCGATCGAATTACGTCTTCTTGAACCATGAGGTTGGACCAGTACTAGTCATGTGTTCGAATCTTTACAACTCTAAATGTTAACAGTTGATTTAACCACAATGTATGTGAAACCTACGCAAATTTCAATATTGTAAGTTGACTTTCATTTGAGAACGTATGTAAGAAAATAATATAAGATCTATCATTAACCTTTTCCTAAAAACTCGAGTTATTCCAATCAAACTGAAAAATGTTTTTCACCGCTACTAATTAATAACCTAAAAGTGATTAGGAAACTTTGCTAATTTTGTACTCATTACGTTGAATGAGACAATGACCAATACAGTTGAGGAAAGATATTTTAGTGGCGACAAGACTTGTTAATTCCATGTGATCGATCAAGTTGATTAATTATTGAGAAGTATGGGTGATGGGTCCAATTCGTTTTCTTTTTCTTTGAAAAGGGTCCAATATAATTGATTACCCGACTCAGATTTTCCTTTTATATATATATATATATATGAATGAATCGGTATATTATATCATAAAATAACTAATTAATTACTAACAACAATTTATGTGTCACCAACCTTCTTCACGCCTCGTCATGGTTCATGCAACGTACCAAGGAAATAAGTAACCATTGCTAAATATCATAGGCCTTATATGAAAGTTAATTTGTAGCATCAATTATTGAAACTATATAATTAAACACTTAACTAATTAACCATCTCATCCATACCTTGAAAATATCCATAGGGTATGGGCCTGTTGCTAAAAAAAGCAAACACTTTAATACCTTACAGTAGCTCTTGTCTATTTCATGGATGATTGAGCACCTAATTAAATATCTACACACTAGAAATGACGAGACTCACAAAACTCATAATAAGTGATTAAGTTCTATGTGAAACTCATCTATCTAGTCTAGTAGCTAGTTCAATTATTGAGAATAAGAAAGATTATACGAATCCATCACGTAATTGCTTGCTGCAACCGTGGAATTAAAATGACAATTTACGAAGCTAATAATAATATGTGAACCGATAAATTTGTAGTTTTCTTCTAATAGCTCATCAGCTCTTATTTGTGAAAGTGTATTCACCTTGACTAGGATAATTAGAACAAATCATATGCGTGGGAAGGTGAAAGGATTAATTAAGTCCAATTCATTGAATTACTATGAACTTGAAACACAATATTACATTTAGAGCATTACCTCCATTCAATGTTTGTGAGTTTCGACTAATTCCATAAAGTGATTACGAAAAGTTGCTAATTTTGTACCAATTTCGTATGAGACAATGACAAATATAGTTGAGGAAGATATTTAGTAGATTAGCTCCCAAATCTTATATGCAAAGATGTAGGGCTGAAAATTTGCATGTCCCGTCTCGGAACGGGCTAGGTCAGTGGGTCGACTCTAATCAACACAATACTTTTTATAAATTAAATTTTGGTACTCAAAATTATTTTTTCTTATAATTTAGTACCTAATTTTTATTTTTTTACAAATGAGTCCATAAATTTTGATGGTAAAATTACATTTTGGTACCAAAATTTTTTATTTTTACAAGTTAGTACCAAAACTTTTAAAACTTTACAAAGATTTCCAATGTGGTATGAGATATTTGTTGTTGCTAAGGGTCACAGGGTCAAAAAGCGACCCATCCTAAGTTGTCCCTACCCGTCACGACCCTTACAGGGTCAACAAATGACTCGTCCCTAATCTGATCATGTAGAGAAACTGACCTGCACGACCCTCAGGAACGGAATGGCTCGGAATGGGTCGATTGGTCTTTTGGGTCAAGCTTACACCCCCTACAAAGAGGTCCGCTAATGGTACAATCTCTTTCCTTTGTGAAAGTGCTATTCAGTGACTTGAATCTTCATTGATTAGGTCATGACGTTGCTAATTATGTACAATTTAGTATTTACATACTATCAGACAAAGGCCAAATACTGTTGAGGAAGATATTTTAGTTGAGAAAACTTAGTAATTTCTTTTACGCTTATACACTTCTAAGTTATCAAAACGCTTTAACTTTAAAGTTCGTTAGCTAGCTACCTCTTTCAGCTTCATCTCTAAATCCCTAAATCCACCAATCATCCATTCCTTTCACCCAAATTCAACCCATAATTTCCTGCTCCATAACTTGTTTGAGCTCAAGATCTAATTGCACATTTTAACTGCATTAGCTGGAATGACGATTACATCTCACTTATTTTTTAATGACAGTAATATCAATTTATTTTTATTGTTAGTTCCTGTATAAGAAATTCAAACTGAGATTGATCGACAAGTGATAAAACCGCTAAATCAAACCCTTGTTTGTGATATTTAGTAAAACTTTCATCAAGTAACAATTTTAGATTATATATATTCCTTATACTTCCCTATCCATATTGTACACTAATACGCTAATAATCGACCGAAATATAGAACCTTTACCCCTCCGGCCTCCGGCCCTATAAATTGGGAGCCTTCCATTCCCCAATCTTCACCAATTCAAACACATCTCTTTCATACACCCAAATATTTAGCCCCACCGCCGCCGTAAACCCAGCCAATCCAATCCAATGGCAGCTTCCTCCTCCTCCTCCTCCCTCTCGGCCGCTCTCCTCGCCGCTGTCCTAACCACCTCGCTTCTCGCCTCCACGTCATCCGCCTCCAGCAGACCCCTCTCCGCCGCCGGCGCAACGACCAACACGGAGTTCATCCGTACGTCCTGCAGCGCCACCACGTACCCTCAGCTATGCTACAACTCCCTTGCCGTCCACGCCACCAAAATCCAGACCAGCGCCAAGCTCATGGCCTCCACCGCCCTCGACGTCACCCTAGCGTCAGCGAAGTCAACCTCCGCCGCCATGGTCAAGCTCCAACAGTCCCACGGCCTCAGCCCCCGCGAGTACGTGGCGATGCGCGACTGCGTGGAGGTGCTCGGTGACTCCGTCGACCTCATCCGCCAGTCCATGGCCGAGATGGCGGCGAACAAAGGCGGCGCGGATTTCGGGATGATGATCAGCGACGTGCAGACGTGGGTCAGCGCCGCCTTGACCGACGAGAGCACGTGCACCGACGGGTTCGCGGAGAAGGCCGTGGCCGACGGGGAGATGAAGACGGCGGTGAGAGGGAAGATTGAGACGATTGGTCAGCTCACCAGCAACGCCTTGGCTCTCATCAACGCCTATGCTACTCTCCATCACTAGACTTATTATATATATATTTTACAATTTGTGATAATTAGTTGTATGATAATCGTTAGATGTTGTTGTGAAATGTTGATTAGTAAGTGATCAAGCGTGTGAACTGTTAAAGACTGTTAATGAGTGATGTTAGTAACCTGTTATTTTGATTCAATACAAACCATTTTCCAATCGTTGTGAAAACCGTATCGGAAGCCATTTCAGAAAAGTTAGTGATTAGATATTTTGTACTGAAATCCTTATTGAGCCGTAATTTAACTATTTGGTACCATAAAAACCGCCTACTGTTTTAAACCCAACATCCGGTATTTTCGATACCAAATATAGTTTAGTGGATTATTACGTCAACTTCGAATTCTCGTAAGTCGTATCTAAACCACTATATAACTAAAAGATGAAGGGAAATTACCACTTTATTATAAATATTTCATATGTACTATGGAAATCACCAAGCTTTCTCAATACATTATTAGAGTGAGCTATGGATAATTCACTTTATAATCGGATTGCAAACAAGACATACTCTGATTTATTGACACGAAGAATAAACACGATTGTTAGAGGTCGCAATCAAGTCTCTCGCTTGTTCGTTAAGATGACAGAGTGTATCACATATCAGTACAATATTGTTCGTTTTGAGTCAAATTCATACAGATTTACTTTTTAATATCTTCTCAAAAGCCCTCGTATAAATGAAGTTTGGTGGATACTAACCTATAAAGATATTTTCTTTTTTATTTTCAATATAGTATTTGAATTGTACACTAACACCAAGAATTTCAACCGATTTTTGAAAAAGAGAAAACAATTGCATAACAAGAAGAAAGGCTCATAATAACATATAAACCCAGAAAGCACAAGCAACGTGGCCATAAACTGATTTCATGTCTTTTCATTTTCATTCAATTTATGATATAATCCAAATTTGCTGGAAGGTGGCAGATATTTCAGTAAGTATCTAATTCGCTTCCTCCTTTCCACTTAATGCGATTGAATGTTGGTGGAAGTTGTCTGTTATTGTCAAAACCGAACCGAAGGTAGATCCGGATTAATAAGAGATTCAAGGTTTATCGGATAATCGTTAATTAATCGGTATTAAAAACAAATCTTAAACCAATGTTTGGCTCTAAATAAAAAGAAATAAAAATAGAGCAAGAATAAAAAATAGCCAAAACTGAAAAAAATAGTCAAAACCGGTAACTTTTTGTTCTTCTCGTTGCTTTTGTTCCTTTTTTTATTTATTTATTAACTAAAAGAATGCAAAAGGGTTAACCCAACCGCCCGTATATATGCCTTTGGGACCGGACTCGTGCCCGGGTCCAGTTTTTCCCGGTCTGATAGTCCGGTCCGACCCGATTTTCATAACATGGATTATGATGGAAGCTGGACAACGTTGAAGATTGGTTCAAAGACTGCATTTTGCATTCGGTGTGGTGGCTAGTGTGGAAGGAAAGAAACCAAAGGGTTTTTGAAGACAAAGCTTCGACAGCGTATGCAGTAGTAAAAAGAGCAGCAAGAAATGTCATGGAATGGATTGTAGCTCATGGGAAAATCGAAAATACGCAGGGAGAGAGCTGGCTTCGTGAAGTGGTCGAGGGAAGCTGATTAGGGGAAATTTGCCTGCGGATGGTTGCAGTGTTCGTTCTCTCGAGGTTTTCGTCCGCGTCCGAGGGCTCGTCAGTTCAGTTGACGAATCCGGCTATTTTGTGTGTTTCTGGTCTTGAGACCTAGACTGAGTTGCCCTGGAGGCAGTTTTACGGTGGTTGTTCTCGTTCTCTTTGGCCCTGTTCTTGGCCTCACACTGAGATTTCTTTGTTCTGTTCTCGTCGATGTGTTGAGCTGGAGCAGGGGTGGTCTGGTCCGCTTTCCTCCGAGCTGTTTTCCTTGTTTTTGTTCGGTTCTTTTGGGTTCAATTTTGTTGATCCCTATCTTTGTACATTTTCAGCTTCCTTTTCGTTCCGTCGTGAAATATATTCTATCACCATATACAATTTACAGAGATTAGGAGACATATATTTATATATATTCTACAGATGACCTAACGCCAATCTAAACTTGGAAGGAAAATCTGACCTAAAAAAAAAAAAACTTGGAAGGAAAATATTACAAATGAGACTCAAAACACGTAAAAGTACATGTGTACTGTGACTTCTAGTCTGGCGATATATTATCTAATTTCAAATCATAGCAATGTTTGTCAATTTTATTATTTGAAACTAGCTACTTATGATCTGGGCCTACTGATGATCCAATCAATAGTACCTTTGGGCCAGTATCCAATCACTTTTCACATAAGCCTTGGGCCCACCATATTTTTGTTTCGTCTTTCCGACTAATTTAAGATATTTGTTGAGCTAGCTAGGCTAGGCTAGCTATCCGATCCAAAACGGAACATATTTTTCGGGTACGAATCGAAAAAAAAATCATGTATGAACTGAAAATGAAAAAGGAAACATCCTGAACTGCTGCAGTCTGTAGAGATGGCGGCGAGTGAAGGAATGAAAAGGAAACAACGGCAGGGTCGACCTGATGCATGTGCATGGGATGAATATTATTAGTGTACTCTATATAACAATAATGCATATGCTTCCCTACAAATGGGCCTCCAATTATTCGTTCCATAATTTGTTTGCTTATAATTATTAAGAGTATGAAAATAGCTTGCCCATCGATACGGCGATGCCGATACCCAATAATTCGTTTCAACTTTCAACCCCATCCTTACCAATTTTGAGAGTCATATATGGGTCCGGATCCCCTCAGCAACCAATATATCAGTAACCATCAGTAACCCCCCTATCAACCGTTCATTCCATCCGCTTTTCAACCGTCAGATCAAGCAAAAGTAACTACACGGGAGGCAAAATAGTAATCTTCGATCTGACAATTTGAAAAGGAGACGTGACATTAAACCGTGCCCGCCTTCTTTCCTTCTTTCTCTCACCTTTCACGCGACAGTTCCACTTCCCTCTGCTCTCTAACTCTCCATTCTTCATCCAATCGCGCACCAAAAACTTCAGAAAACACAGAATCATTCAACGATTTTCGCAAAGGTTTTCGAAGAATCATTCAACGATTCACTGTTCTCGCTTCTTCGTTGAAAAACGAAGGGTTTCCAACTTCAACGAGGCTCAAAAATCGTTTTCGCAAAAAATATCAAGGTAAAACCTCACTTCTTTCTTCGAAATCCATCCATAGAACAATAGAAACAGTATTTCAGTCACTCTTCATGTGAAAATTGTAGTAAAACTCGCTACATTACCGAATCGTTAGCATGCGTTGCTGAACTGGTGTAGAATCTATTGTGTTTTGCTTCGTTACCACATGGTATGGCGTGGTAAGCTATGATTGCATGTTATAAAAAGGCAAGAAACCGTAACTCCTTCTGTGTTTTAGTTTGTTACCATATGGTAATGTGTAGTAAGCTATAATTTCATGTTGTAAAATAGCAAAAAACCATAAGTTCTTCTGTGTTTTAGTTTGTTACCATTTGGTAATGTGTAGTAAGCTATAGTTTCATGTTGTAAAATAGCAAAAAACCATAAGTTCTTCTGTGTTTTAGTTTGTTACCATATGGTAATGTGTGGTAACCTATGGTTTCATGTTGTAAAATAGCAAAAAACCATAACTCCTTCTGTGTTTTAGTTTGTTACCATATGGTAATGTGTGGTAAGCTATGGTTTCATGTTGTAAAATAGCAAAAAACCATAAGTCCTTCTGTGTTTTAGTTTGTTACCATATGGTAATGTGTGGTAAGATATGGTTTCATGTTGTAAAAATGGAGGAAAACATAAGTCCTGTTGTGTTTTACTTCGTTACCATATGGTAAGATGTTATAAGACATGGTTTCATGTAATTACCATATGGTAAAATGTGATAAATATATGGTTTGATTAGGTATGGTAGGAAACCATTATGGTAAAAAGCATACTAACAGACTATTACTAATTTCTACAGTCAGGTACACTATGGTAAAACCAAGACAAAGTTTTCGCACAAGGTGCAACCCAACAAGAGTATCTGCAATTGCAAGGTCAATAACAGATGAGCGGAAAGCGCAACTTGAGATATTAGGCCTAGCAGGCTTAATATCAATCAGGCAGACAAAGATAAACAATCATTTTGCACTGTTCGTAATGAACAAATACAATCCAATGAAAGAATCGTTCAAGCTACCTGACGGGACACGCATGAAGATATCACCAATCGACTTTCATAGAGTATATGGTCTGCCGATGGGGAATAGGGAAGTTGTACCTCCCATGATTTCTTGGGACGACGCAGCAGATTATGCAATAGAAACCCTACTCGAAGTAGATGGAACATCCACTCCAAGGGTAAAGCTAAGTAAGGTAGAAAAAGATCTTCCTACAACCACAAACAGTAAGAGATGGTTACAATTGTTCTTTCTGCTGGTCACCGGAGGCTTGCTGTGTCCAACTTCAGCACCTATGGCTGAACTCAACATGCTTGAGTACTTGAAGACTGATGAACTGAAACATTTCACCAGCTACAACTGGTGCAAATACTTCTTCAAACACATGAATGAAGGATTGAAATCATCAAAACTCTATGTCAGTGCAGATATTCACTTCCTTACAGTAAGTCTCCATTCCCTTGGCCATTTCAACCTTGTTACTCATATATTTTACATATAAATGATAATCTTTGAAAAAACTAATACAACTATCTGCATAAAAAAGGTATGCTTCATGTACAAACTGGACGAAATGGCATTCTCAACCCAGCTTCGAACACCAACAGTAAGCTACTATGATGATCTCAATGTCAAAACAAACTTTGAGAACATTAAGAGCTACTACAATGGAAAAGAGTTGACCGAGATCGAAAAGGTTGCCAACATTAATGATGATGAGGCTGATGATGCAACTGATGAGGAAGAGGAGAATGAGCCAGTCTATCAGTCACCGAAAAGACAAAGAAACAAAACTCCAGACCAGTCATCATCAGTGAACTTTGATTTGAAGAATATCAGAACAGTCAACCAAGTAAGTACAAATTATCTATATTACAGTTGTCCAAATACATGCTAACCGTAATTCCTTCTGTGTTTTAGTTGGTTACCGTATGGTAAAGTGTGGTAAGCTATGGTTTCATATTATAAAAATGGAGGAAACCATAAGTCCTGTTGTGTTTTAATTTGTTACCATA